TAAACTGTAGTTTCTTAAGGGTTATTTTATCTTTTCTCCACCTCACTAATCTTTACTCCAGCTTTCCAGTTCATGTAGAATCAAAGGCAAAGAGCTACCAGCTTATTGAGAGGAGCTCTGCTGGTGCTAGTTTAGATGTCAGGAAGGGAGGAGCCCTGTGACAGGGCTCCTCCCTGTGACAGTGTTGGGTTAGCCTGTAGGAGCAGCACTCTGTGCTTTCTCAGTCTGCCCTCACTGTTTTAGTTTTACTTTATAAAAATCATTGTCAAGAATCTAGGGACCAGTTGTTTAATCTTCTATATCAGTGCTGTTTCAAGGGTATACTAAGTAAATCAAGGTATAACAAATTTAAGCATATTTATTCATTACAGTCGAATCTAATATACACTTTACCTGGTGGATTTTTTTTATTTTCATGGGCAAAATTTATTATTTTAATGTTTCTAGTCATTGAGAACCATACTTCTCTAACATCAATGACTCTAAAGCCACCACAATGGAAAGATGTGAGAAAATGAACATTTGGAGGTGTTAATCAGCCTCTTGATCACTAGACTGAACATTTTTTTCTGACTCCTTCCCTCTCCCAACCAGTGGTTGTCAAGCACAAGTGTTTGTACCTACGCACTGTCAGTGCCAGCCTTCTTCCTTGTACTGCTCCCACTACCCTAGTGAAGGCCTTGGTCACCTCTTGCCTTGCTTACTGAATAAGCCTTTTAACTGGTCATCTTCTTAAAATAAAAAATCCAGTGTCTCCAAACTGCTGAGCCTGCCACTCATGGTGTCTTCCACCTGAATCCAGTCCACATCTCAATTACCTCCTGCCTTATCCTCCTGTTACGTTGTATGTGCCAGGTTTTTTGTCAGGAACTATCTTTTCATCCTTTTAGTCGTCTTATCTTGGAATGCTTTAAGTCAGTTTACATCTGAAACTCTTCTTGTGTCTTCCTCCTGCCTAACTTAATCTCCACCTGCTTTAAACTCCTTTTCATTGGAGTTTCTCGAGAATTAATAAATTTTTACCTAGTAATGAAGATTTGTATATGCTGTATTTATCTTCTCCATTTATCAAATAAACTTCCTTGGGAGTGTAATTCATCTTTGATTTCCTCAGAGGAACACAGTAGTGACAGGTCTATCTTAAGGAATGTACAGTCTTAAGAAACTTACAGCCTATTTGGAGAGTCAGTCATTAAATAACCTTAGAGAACATTGAAACTTTGGTTAAGGACTGTGGAGTAGAGAGACATGATTTCATGGGAGCATGAAATAGTAGTTTTGACCCAGAAACTTATTTGCAAAGTAAGAATTGATCTGAGATTTGAAGAGTGAATTGAGCAGTAAAGGGTTGGGAAGTGCTTATCCTGGCAGAGTGTACAGTGTGAGCAAAGGCCCTGAGGTGAGAAGGAGGAAGGCAAATACAGGCCTGGGTGGTGAGTCTGCAGAGCATGTGAGGTATAAGATATGACTGGAGAGGTGGATAGGGCCAGATAATGCATGCTAAAGAATTATTACCCTCTTTTTATCCTCAGATCAATGGAAAACCATCAAAGTGTTTTAAGAATGGAGATCTGATTTGTGTTTCAGAGCTCTGGCTGCAATGTAGACAATGAATTGAGAAGAGCGAAGGGGATCAGCAGTGGGCATGGGCAGTCTCTTGTATTTGAACAACTGCGGTAACAAATTAAACCCAAATCTCAGTGGCTTATCACAGTAAAGATTTATCTCTATCTTGTAGAGTCCAGCAGAATTGGGCAGCCCTCTTCTATCTTGCAGTATGTCTGCCAAGGTCATCTTGTCAGAAGATGGAGCTAGATGACACTTTTCAAAATCAACATGTCAAACTGTGCTCATCACCCCCTTCTGTTTATACACACCAGTCTTTCTAGTCACCAGTCTGGAGAATCCTGGGTCGTCTTTGATGCCAGTTCTTTTATGTTTCACACAGCTACATTGGTTCTACTTTGAAATGTCCTTGGATTTGTTTTTTGTTTGCAACTCCACTGCTGTACTTCAGAGCTTTTTCTGCTGGATATTTGTAATTGCCTCAGAAGTGGCCTTCCTGTTTCCATAGTCTTTGCCAGTTTCTTCTCCACAGTCCATTGTCAATTTCCTCAAACAGAAGTGTCTCTCCATCAGAGAACTCCACAGACCTCATTTCTTATGGAAGAAGCCCAAACTCCTCCTTACTCAGGCACCTAAGGTGCCTGTAAATTACAACTAGATTTGGCTGAAATTAGTTGCATTATAATTGCAAAATACACATATCCCTTCCGTTTTCAATTACTGATACATGATTAATTTGATTGATTTCCAAGTCAGTTTAAAGTTTTTGAGGTATTTCACTTAGATAATGACAGATACATTCAAACATTGATGGGCGGGTCCGGCAAGTTTGACTTACAAATCAATTTATGGACTTGGAAGTTAGAGGAATTGGGGTCTGTTTCTAGTTATTCACTATTTTGTTACTTTCAACATTTCATCTCTGTTCAAAAAAGCAAAATAAAGATTCTTGAATTGATGAACATAGATGAACTGTGAAGATCAGAACAATACTACTCCTAAAGCAGTAAAAGAAGGGTTAAGAAAAATGCTTTTTAAAAGTAGAAAAGTAATAAGATTGTGTAGTTTTTGAGGCTATTTTCATCTTATTTTTCTGTATCTACCACTTTGTTAGAGTGAAATGTTCATTTAAAGGAAAATGTGGATTAGATTAGATGGGATTGAAGTGGATTATGATTAGATGTGGATTAGATTAGATAGGATTGAAATGTATTGGAGCTCTTTTAATGAAAATGATTAAATGTCCTAGTTACCTTAATGTTAAATAAATGCTGGGATCTTAGTGTATTTTAACCCCCAGAATTCTTACGTACATTTTTAAGTAACAGCTTTATTGAGATACAATTCATACCATAAAGTACAATTCACTAGTTTTCAGTATATTTATGGATTGTGCATCCATTACTACTGTCAAATTCTAAAACATCACTCCAAAAAGAAACCTCATACCCCTTTGCCCCTGGAAATCACTAACCTTCTTCCTGTCTGTGGATTTGCCTATTTTGAACATTTCATAGAAATAGAATCATGAAATGTGGCCTTTTATGTCTGGCTTCTTTCTCTTAGCATAGTTTTTCAAGTTTATCTGTGTTGTAGCATGTATCAGTACCTCATTTTTTTTATAGCTTAATAGTCCATTGTATGGATATAACACATTTCATTCATTCATCAGTTGATAGACATTTGGGTTCTTTCTAATTTTGGCTATTCAGAATAATGCTGCTTACAAACATTCGTGTACAAGTTTTTATATGGACATATGTTTTCATTTCTCTTGTGTATATTACCTAGGAGAGTCACATTGCTAGGTGTTAACAGCATGTTTAACTTTTTGAGGACTTGCCAGACTGTTTCCTGGAGCAGCAACAACACTTAATTCTAACAGCAGTGTATAAGGGTTCCAGTTTCTCAACAGCCTCGCCAACATTTGTTGCTGTTGTCTTTTTTGTCACAGCTATCCTAAGTGGGTGTGAAAGTAGGTTCACATTGTGGTTTTGAGATGCAGTGCCTTAAATGACCAATGGTGTGAGCATTTTCCCCAAGTGCTTATTGACTATTTTTATATTTTCTTTGAAGAAATGTCTATATCTGTTCAAATCCTTTACACATTTTTAAATTGGGTTATTTGTCTTTTTTATTGTTGAGTTACAAGGGTTCTTTATGTGTTCCAGATACAAGTTCCTTATTAGATAGATGATATGCAAATATTTTATCCCAGTATATGGGTCATCTTTTCATCTTACGTTTTTTTTATTTCTTAATTAAATTACTTGACATTAATTTTGGGTATCACTAATATTTTTGCATTGTTTAGTTTTTCAGTTCTATTAAGTTAAATTCTTGCTTTAGAAAAGCTAACATGCAAACTAAAGTAGTTAATGAAGCATACAAAAATTTCGGATATAGTAAAGTTAATGTAGGCACATTCCATAAAGAAGATGAAAAGGTCAAAAACTGGTTTTAGAGCTTGTGCTATCAAGATCTTGTATAACTGAAAGAGAGAGAAAGAGAAAAAAAGAAAAGAAAGACAGAAGAAAGAAAGAAAGGATCTTGTGTAACTGCTTCCTCATCTCAGAGTAGCAAATATAACATGGTAAAGGTTTATTTTTATGGTCAGTATAATCCGCAAATTAAGCTATCCTCTTTGTGACAGTAGTAAACATTTTTGTATTCTTTTTTTAAATCGAGATATAATTGACACATAAAACATTGTATAAGTTTAAGGTACACAAGGTGTTGATTTGTTGCATTTATATTTTGCAGTATGATTACCATCATTGTAGTAGCTAACATCTCTATCGCATAATTATTTCTTTTTTAGGGTGGGAGCAATTAAGATCTAGTCTCTTAGCAGTCTTACATTTATTGTAATATTAATTTAAAACCTGGAGATTTTGTAAGTGGAATTTTAAAGGCATGTGACTAATGTTACTGAATATTGATCACAATTTTGAAATATGAGTAGAACAAAGACCTTTTAATTCTTTTTTTGTTAGCGAAAGATACACCATAGGAATGGAATCTTTCCAACCCAGCAACTCTGACCATCTGTTATGCATTATGAAAATAATTTGGGGTGTTATTAATACCCAGACTGGGGAGATGACTCCACCTCCGTCAGGGCTCCAGGCAACCTCTATAGGAAGAAAATAATCCAGCATCCAGGAAGTACCATTTTTTAGCTTTTAAGGTAGGAAAGGCTGCTAGTTGGCTCTTCCTGTACTCCCACATAATAGTGATGAATAGATTTTATATGTAGTCTTGTAAAACATTTCAATGACTGATTGCAGCTCAGATTTTCCAGTTTCCCAATTGGATGATAAAGTATACCTTAAAAATTTTAAGTGTATGTCAGTCTGTAACCAGAAGTTACATAGTGTTTTATATTTGGCATGATAAAAATTATAAGCCTCTTTCTGATTTTATCATTACAGGCCTCAGGAGTGCAAGTTGCTGATGAAGTATGTCGCATTTTTTATGACATGAAAGTTCGGAAGTGTTCCACACCAGAAGAAATCAAGAAAAGAAAGAAGGCCGTCATTTTTTGTCTCAGTGCAGACAAAAAGTGCATCATTGTAGAAGAAGGCAAAGAGATCTTGGTTGGAGATGTTGGTGTAACTATAACCGACCCTTTCAAGCATTTTGTGGGAATGCTTCCTGAGAAAGATTGTCGCTATGCTTTGTATGATGCAAGCTTTGAAACCAAGGAATCTAGAAAAGAGGAGTTGATGTTTTTTTTGTGGTAAGCATCAATAGAAATATTGAGCCTCTGTAAACTCGGAGTTAATCTTGTTGGTTTAGCACTTGGATAACCAGTTCCTGGGGCCAAACTAATTTTCAGTCGAGCTACTTGCTGTCATTGTCATTTAATTTTTATACACAAAGTTTCATAAGATAAGGTCTTAGCTAGATTGATGTTCTTGGGACCAAAACTAAATTTTAACTACTCTTTGTTTACTTGAAAGAAGATGACTTTCAGTAGTTTATTTTTTTTTTTGGTAGTAGAAGGGACAGGTAAATAGATTACTATGCATCCTCTGAACTCACTCCTTATAAGCTAAAATTTCTCTAAAAATTCTTATAGAATACTGAAAAAGTGTATCTCACCAAAATCCTCTAACATGCAATGCCAGTAACCAGCCTCCCACTTTTTTAAACACTGATGCTTTATTTGTGCCTCTGTGGTTTGCTGCTTTTGAAGTTGGTACTGTCATTGCCTCCAGCTGTAATTTGCTCTAATGTTCACACTGTCCATTAGGGTAGCCATTAGCCACTGTGGCTTTTTAAATAAAAAAATTAAAATTAAACTTAAAATTTATTTTCTTAGTTGAATTGCCACATTTCAAATGCTCAGCCACGTGTGACTAGTGATCGTGTTATTAGGTAGCACAGATACAGGACATTTCCATCATCACACAAAGCTCTATTAGACAGCATTGCTCTAAATAGTGAAAGTGTTACCAAGTGATTTACATGACCTTTTTCTTGAAAGGCTGTTTAAATTAGTCTGATCTTTTCAAGTAAGTTAATATTTGAGATTAAGCTTGAGTTAAAAGTCACACCTATATCTATCATTTAATTGTATTATACTACATTCCTTGATATGGAATTCTTACAGAGAATATTTCTAGCTTCCAAGGGGAGGGGGGAGTAGTAACAGCCTCTGATTTGGAGGGAGTAAGGGTCTTGATACTTTGGCCTGAGCCAAGGCAATAAGGCAAAGCGGGGCTTAGCTCTTAGCTGTGTGCCACCAATAGCTTGGGATATGGCGTTAGAAAGTCAAAAGAATTCCGGTTTAAAGGAATGTAACTCTAGATCATACCTCAGTTCCATTTCAGAAAGCCTTTATTGCACTTGACTAAACCAAGATGATGTGAGAAATATAAATATGAGATCTCAGTGCATGCATTAGGGCAGCTTACTATAAGCCTGGCAGGCAGGCAGTCTCAATCTGTCTCAGTCTGTCTGTCTGTCTCTCTCTCCCCTCCTCTCCCTCTCTCCCTCTCCTCTCTCTCCTCTCTCTCCTCTCTCTCCTCTCTCTCTCCCTCTCCCCCTCTCTTCCTTGCATTCTCACTTGTGATGACTTCTCCCTCTCTCTCTCCCTCACCGCCCCCCCCACTTTCCTGATTTGAGTAAAAGGTACATTCATTAAATTTATTTCTACTACATGCCAGGTATTGTGTTAGAGCGGGGGAAAACAGCTGTGAATAAAACAAGTAAAATTCCCTACCCCTTGAGAATTTATAGCTGAGTGGCTGATGTGGCAGCTAAATAAAGGTTTTGGCTTTTAAATTGGTGAATATTTCCTTCATTTGCACTATTTTCTCCTGGTTTTATTTTTTTTCCCTACTAGAAAATGATAATCCTTATTTAAAAACATTTGAAAAATAAAGAAAAGGAAATTCTATGTTAGTGCAGTGTTTTACTTTCTACTATTGCTTTTTTAAAGAAAGAGAAAACCTGGAGTTTTCTGTAACAGGCTCTGTTTAGGGCCCAGGGAGCGGTTCTAATAGCGTTTTAAAAATCTGGTTAGAGCAAAATCAGAGCAGCTTAAGTAAGCTTTTTCCTGTTAGTGACCTATTTTGCATAAGAAAAGTAGCCACTTAACTTTGCAGCTCTAGCATCTGCCAGACCTGAGGTATTGTTATAGCTTTGCCTCCCTCCTTGGACCTTAGAGTTGGGAAGAATAAGCATCTAAGAGACTTAGAGACTGCCCTTTTCCTGGTTGCCAAGAATAGAATCTCTACCCTCTGTGGGAGTAGACAAGGTGAGGTCCATGCCAGCCCATGGTGTTAATGACTGTGGAACATCCTGGAAAAATGGTAGTGAATGGAATCGTAAGATGCTTAAAAATATGTACACTCCAGTTACCCTTTGGTATCTTGGTAGTGTGGAGCAGAGGTAGGCCTGAGGTTTGGTTGGTTTAGTAGGAAATGAGGCATTTATAGATAAGCAGTTTGAATAGGATAGGGTTTTTCTGTTCATTATTAATACTTAGTTATTTTTCAATATTGCTGGTCAAGAAAGTGGTGAAGCTTATGCTGTGCTTCCAGTATTCATCCAAGAAGGGAGCAGCACTAAAAATTTTGTTAAATACAGCCAATAGTAATATTGACAATTAAGACATAATTATCGCTGAATTGTCATTAAGCTTAAAAAAAAACCCTTCTGACATGTTTTGTTATGTTAGAGCAAGATGGAAAACAAGTACTCATGTGGTCAGAATTTGCTATTAGAATAGACAGATGGAGTGGGGAGGAGTAAGAGGAGAACTTTTTACTTTATTTGTGATTTTTTTAAAGAAAACAGTCTGAAGCAAAAATGCTAAAATTGCTAGCATTAATTCAGGGTGGCAGATATTGATTTACAGATTATTCTTTGTATTTTTCTGCAGTTAGAAACTTTTTTCCAACCATAAAATGTTTTTTTTTTTAAACCATCTTTAAAGATGGTTATTATTAGCCTGAACTCAAGTCTTTATTGATAACATTTTTTTAAAAAATTATTTTAAAGAAAAGGGGTAATACAGTGAATTTTCCAGTGTTTGGTTCTTTTATTCTAGCCCCATTGATCTGATTTTTATTCAGTGGTTCTCTAATTTTTTTCCATTTGGTCAGCCTGAGCCATTCTGTTTGCCCATTCATAAGTTACTTTCCAAGGGGTGGGGACATAGAAAAATTGTATTATTACAAAAACTTATAGGTGTTTCTGAGGACCCTCCCCCATCACTGATGCAAATGTTTAACATGATGTAAATTGTACTTTCTCCAAACCAGTTTTTTTGTGTTTTCATTTTTGGCTTCTCCTTATCCAGGGCACCAGAGCTAGCACCTCTGAAAAGTAAAATGATCTATGCGAGCTCCAAGGATGCAATCAAAAAGAAATTTCAAGGTATGGTCTAGATTTACTTCTAAATATTTAGTCTGGTGAGCCCCTGAAATGGGGGTTACATCTTTTCTTAGAAGCACCTTATTTTTGTGGGGAGAGCCTTGGCCACAAAGAAGGGAAGCACTGCCTATTGAGAAAAAAAACAGGTTAAACCCAGTTTTCAGTGTGTCCTGCCTTGTGCTGATCACATGGCCCATATTAATAACCTTATTCTCTTCACATTGTGTGTGTAGCATTCATTCAGGCTGGTTTTAAACTAGTTTAAGATGCTGCCAAGTTTCTCACCTAGCAGGTGGAGGCTAATTGGCTTAACAGTTATACTAAATGATAAATTTTCTTTTGCCTTTGAATATAGTTGACAAAATTGAAAAAGGAAATGTGCATAAATGGGGAAGGATACTTTTATCTCTAGCTTTACTTTGGAATGGTATGATTTTAGGTAATTGACTCATCTGTGTCCAAAGGAAAGTGCCTTCACTCCTTAAGTTGGCCTGTTATGTTTGACTTGCCCACTGGGTGATGGCGATCCTGATGAGATGACCTGACCATACTGTTTCCAGCCAGGAGGAAATGTTGGTTTGCTAGAAAGAGCATGGGTCAAGTCAAAGGCCTGCACGGAGGGCTCAGCTTATCATCTTAACTGCTGTCTGACCTTGACCAGAAACGCTTAATGTCTTTGGGTCTTGATTCTCTGAGCTATAGAATGGGGAGATTGTCTAGACTGTGTGAGCTGAGTCTCAGAGATTGCCCTACCTCCTTCCTGCCATGGCTAGCTCCAAATAGCTGGGCCAGCCAAAGTCAAAAGGGTTTGGCCCAATGTATTCGTTTAACTGTGACTGATTTTTACATTCTTATAGTTGAAGAGGTCTGCCCTAGATTGTTTACTTAGGAAAATAAAATTGCTTCCTTTCCTGAAACATCCTGCTGCATAGTTCAGGCCTTGTCAGGGTTCTACATGTGTTTGGGTTGATGCTGTGCCATCCCCTAGAAGTGTGTTCATCGGTGGTTAACTCTTTTAATATGACTCCTTAGCTTCAACACTTCCACAACACAATCAAAAAGATTCGGGGTGGCTTCTTCATCCTTATTCTGCAATGTCTTTCAATAAAGGGAATTGCTAAGTGCACTTGATCTAGTTATATTAGACAGCTACCTTGTTGCCTTTTTTTCCTAGTGAAACCATCGCTGGCTTTCTCGTTAGTCCTAAGTGGTCCAAAAGCTGACCTGTTATGCTTTTAGCTTAAGAAATGGTCTTAAAATTATGGAAAATCAGAAACAATGTAAACCTATTTAACAGGTAGCTATTTACAGAGGAGCTACTATATATAATTCCATAATTGAGCTCATTCTGCTTGTGTGGTGATATAATTTTTCTGAGAAGGCAATCAGTAACACATTTTACATGGTGTTCTCATAGCTTTCTTAAATGTATAATACCACTGGAGAGTTGTTTGTAGAACAAAAGAGATATTTGTAAATATTATTCCTCTTCAATATAGTTGACTAAATTGGCTGCAATCAAAACATCAAATTCATGTTTTTACTTATAGTTTAAAAATCAAGAAAAAATATTACCGGACTTTTTAATTTTTTCTTGAAGTACATCATATCTATAGAAAAGCAGACATCATAAATTACTGTAGGGGTGGTTCCATAGAGTAGTGGTTAGCATGTCTGCTTTACCTGCAGAAGGTCCTGGGTTTGAGCCCCAGCAGAGCCACGGCCCATACCCCAGCTGTGCCAGGTCCTGGGTGCGCCAGGCCCTGGGTTTGCGCAACAAGCATGTGGGAGACGACACCCCACCTTCAGAGATCCAGTTTTTAAGGGGAGACAGCAACATCCGTAGGTCGGGGGTAGAAGAGGTGGGGCTTATAAATGAATGAATGAATAAGTAAAATAAATAATTGTAGGACTCAATGAATTTTCATTGCTGAACATAATGGTTTTCTTGATTTAATGACCAGTACCCTAGAAGTCTCACTCGTGCCCATTCCAGTCACACCACTTCCTTTTACTCCTTTACAGGATAACCAGTACCCTGGCTTCTAACAGCATAAAATAGCTTTGGCTGATTTTGTGTTATACAAATGGAATCATCCAGAATTTACACTTTCATATCTGGCTTCTTTCAGTCAACATCTTTTTTAGTCATTGGTTTTGATGCATGTAGTTACAGATTATTTATTCTCTTACTGTGTAGTATTTCATTGTGTATACTACAGCTTTCCTATCCATATTAGAACTGGTCCTTTAAAGCAGCTTGATATTTTAGAGAAATAAGTAAACTACTGCCATAATTCTAAATAGAATTATTGTTTTTCCCTTCTAGGCATAAAGCATGAATGTCAAGCAAATGGGCCAGAAGACCTCAATCGGGCTTGTATTGCTGAAAAGCTAGGTGGATCCTTAATTGTAGCTTTTGAAGGATGCCCTGTGTAGATCATCATTCAGTGCCACAAATCAAAAGCTTCCATGTTTAATGTTACCCTCTTGCTATATAAGTAAAGCAAATATGTCTAGGCCAGGGTCTCACTGAGGGGAAGCTGTTTTGTCATCTGTTAGAGTGAACTAAATATTCTATAAACATGTGCAGACAGCCCTAAATAAATCTAAAATCTAAATTTTATTGGTATGAAATTAAATTCTTATTGGCCAAATGCCTGTTTTGATGAGTTGGCTTGTAAAGATTTTTGCTAAGCTCATGAATTTTAATAATGCAGTTCACAAAACAGTACAAGGTCATATGAAGAGAATGTTAACCTCGGCAATTACTTTAGCTTAAAGAATTGGTTGTAATCTGGTTATAATTTTGGCCCCAATTCTTTATTCTCTCTTGAGCTAAATTGAATGGAAAATAATTTTCACAACATGTAATAACACTAATATACTAACTCTAATAAGATTAAATCAAGAAGTCTTTTAATTCTACCAGATGTATAATGGAGACTGTCTCAGAATCGTGTACACTTAATAATCAGCACTGATCTTGCAAAAGCACTCTTTCAAGCACATAGCTGGAATACAGGAACCAACTCCATGCACCTGGGGTGAACTCTCCACTTACTAGATGAGAAACTGTTCTGAGAGTGACCTAGCATCTTGAGAACCATGGTGTGTGCTCAGGAGAATGTGCAGTACCTTGTAACAACTAATTATAATGCAAATTAGGGCTCCATTGTAACACTTTTGTTCATGAAAATGATGAAACAGTATACTGATAAGCTGGGACACCTGGAATATCCGTGTCTCTTTCAGAATTTTGTTGCTTCTGGTACATAAGGTGTGGAAAAACATTGTTTACTCTGGGGCCTGAAAGAATGTCTTAATTTCTTAGAGCAGTGTCAACTAGGTGAAATGGGGAGCAGGCATGACACATGACGACACTCACAGGAAAGCCGCCACCTGAAGACACTTGGAAGTGATTGTCTTTAACATCACAGGCATAATATTTTGAATATAGGTGCACAAACAGTTGAAGTTAGAAGTAGCTGTATTGGCTTTATATAATAAAGGAAGCATTTTTAACTTATCTCTCGTGATTATTCACATGTGAATTGGGGATAAAGGAGTTTGTCTTTGGGGGCAAGTCATGGGGGTTTGGGGATTTTGGACAATTAGAGTTAAGATCACAGATCCCGCTTATTAAATGAGAAACTTAGTATAAAAGTTGGGGATCTTATTCCAAATATTTATCCAAATACCAGGCTTTTATCACCTCTGATATATTTGGGAGGCAAAAAAAGACTTTAAGCAAAATACTTCTTTCAAAATTGTCTAGAAAATAGTGCTGACTACTGTTCTGCTGATAAGCTGCTTGTCATTCTTTAATCCTGAATTTCTTGTTTTGCTATTTGTAGTGCTTTTAGTGATTCTGTATATTAACATGCCTCCCGAGAAGCACTGGCATGCCCAATGCTGCCCTACTCAAGAATCAGCCTTGTAGATACAGCCAGGTATTTTGGTCAAGGAGTTTTAGAAGGAGAAAGTCTTTTCTGTGGGTTCAGCTTGTGCTATGTGGTATGACTTGTTTAACCACCACTCCGTGCTGGTGTGTGTGTGTGTGTGGGGAGGTGTGGGTTGGATTTCAAACAGTATACAGGGATGTAATATAATGTAAACATCTCCCAATACTTGACTCTTATTCCAGAAATTGGAAGATGTTAATTGTTACGCATCTCTCTACCTAGGGGAATTTTTTAGTCTTATTGGATTCCTGAAGTTGGGGCCCAAGAATCCTGCCAACAAGCATTCCAGGTAACTCTGATGCAGAATAGTGTTTGGGACCTCAGATGACATTAGTGAGGAATAAAACTGCAGGTATACTCTGCTTTCAGCAAACACATTTACAATTTTACAAGCGTTAACACATTACAAAAACACATTTGTGGAAAGCTGACTTAGGGTTCATCTACTGAGTAGTCTTTCACGCTGAGCAAGCAAATAAAGCCACTGCTAACAGAAATTCAGAACTCGACTGTGAAGTTTCTTATTTCAGAGAATATTAATCTGAGAAAACAACAGAGACTCGAGTAATAGGATTAGACTTAGTTGAGTGGTTTCCTTTTTGCAGAGCTGCCCAGAGTACTGGCTGGTCCACACACACGGAGTGCAGCTTCTGTTTCTTGATTGGTTTGTTGTTTTTTGGACTATCAGAGACTGGATATGCCCAGGGACACATCGCTTTCTCATGATTTGGGGGCATTGCTTAAATATGGAATAGTTTCCAGACTGAGCTTCAGCTGAGGCTACAGCTGGAATAAAGACCATTAATTGCATTGAGCCTGGGAGAAGGAAGTTCCAGGAGCCAGGTTTTTGTTGGAAGGAAGTTGGAGTTGTACATAAAACTCAAGCTATGTTTAATTGGCCAGGGCTGTCCTTGGGCTCTGCCCAGTCTCAGCACAGAGGGGAAGGGAGGGGACTGGACTTACCCAGTCTGCAGCCAGCCCAAGGGGTTAAATAACTTGCCTAAGGTCATGCAACTCAGGAACAGCAGAACCGGGACAACTCGGGTCTCCTGTTTTCTGGTCCTAAGCTCTTCCCTTTCCACCCATGGCAGGTTCTTCATTTCTAAAACCTGGAATTCTAAGGTTAGATCTTATTCAGTGTCAGGAATGAGACTTGAACAGAGAAGAGAAGGAAAACAGTTTTTTTTTTGGCTTTGAATCCTGTTAGACCCAAACCTGAAGGCCTAGAGAGAAAGCATTTGTGGAGGGTGTCTAATGGTTTCTAAAATCTTCAGAACTCTCCTAGCTCTGTTGGTGGTGGTCTGAGCTGCACCCAAATTGTGGCCTCTGTGAAGCCAGGCCTTGGGAGAGCAGGCCAGCCAGTGCTTTTTAGTTGACAGGTGCTCCAACCCAGCCTGGGTGATTCCTGCCTCCCCATAGAACTTCATTCCAAGTGACTACAAAAGCCAGTGCTCCAGTACTGTAACGGTACCACTTCACGTGCAGGCCAGAGCACTGAGTGGCCAGGCCAATGAGCTAGGCTCCTGGCAGCTGTTCACGTTGAGGGACATGAGGGGCCCTGTCAGCCTCTAGTGCTGAAATCTGCAGAGAGGGTGGCTGCCTCCCATACCTTACTGAACAGCTCTTTTCCTCCTTCCCCAGCCTGATGAGGGAGCTTTGCTCAGAAAGAGCCCTGGCCACAAGGCCAGGCTGAGGCCTGGCAGGCTGCCTGGCAAACTCGGGCTCCCTCTGCTGGCCTGAGAGTTTCCACTGCTGAGCTGGTGGGGAGGCCTGATGACGGGCCCTCAGCTTGAGCTGCAAGTGGTCACCAATGCAGCGTTTTCCTGAGCCCCATAGGGCCCCACACCCTGCACTTTGTCTTACTTCCTCCCCACAGGTAGATACTGGGTCCCCACCAGGTGGTCTGAGGGAATAGGGCTATTGCCAGAACCCAGGGAGCAGCAATGCCCTGTAGAACCCAAAGGCAGCCATTTCGTACCTCCAGGTGTGCCTTTCTTTCCCTGAGGTTCTTCCATTCCTGTGCCTTCAGAGGGCATCTACCCAGCCTAAGGGTTCTCAATTCTGCAGTCAGTGAGGTAGGGTAGGGAACTTATTGGAAATATAGGCTCCCAGACCCATGGTGGTAATTCTGATGCAGGCATAGGTCTGGCCTGTTTCCCATCAGGAAACACTAAGGCCCCAAACCACTGACACTGCATGTGGCCACTGTGTGTGGGAGGATGAGTTGTGCCCCCACAGGGCCAGTCCTCTATCTCTAAGCCTCTGCTCCCAAGGTAAAGGCAACACAGAAGGTGCAGTGCAGGGCCACAAGTTTGTGGAGCTCAGTGGCCACTCCTCATGGGATCTGACCACTCCAGAGTTAAACTCTCCCTCAAAATGACCCCCCAGGCTGCCTATTGCAGTGCTAAGCAATAGAGGTGGGCTTGAAACCTGCCTGCCCTTTACCAGGTAAGCTATCTTCTCTTCATGGGGATTCTCTGCAAAAAAAAAAAAAAAGGAGAGGTTCACGTCCCACAGGGACTGATATTCATGTGAGAACCAAGTAGAGGGCTGGGCACGTAGCCAGAGACAGGTGTTATCAGTCATTTCCTCCTGCTCAGTCTCCTGGCCAGGAACTATGACATCCACTTTAGCCCCTTCCAAAGAGTTCTAGAACACATACGATTGTCTTGTCGCTTAAAAACCTCAGTGTCTCCTACAGCCTTACTTGTCCAGACCCCTTATCCTTTGTAACCTGGCTCCACAATGCCTTTACAGTCTTCCTTTCTGTCCCCTCAGCCTCGACCCTTTTTCCCTTCCCTCAACAAATGCCTCCTGTTCTGATGTATGCTGGCTCCAGCTTAAGCTCACTTCTCTGGGGAGCCTTCTCAGATTTTCCAGCACCCTGATCTCAATATAGTCACAACACACAAGTGCCACACAGCATGATGAGGTGGCCCATAGACTAGATGCCGAGACCAGGACTTGGTCATGCAGGTTGAGGTCAGCACACTGCCCAGCCCCTTGTAGATGTTCGATGTGTAGGGGCTGAAGTCAGCCAAAGCAGGGGTCCCTAACCCCCAAGCCACGGACTGGTAGTGGTCTGTGGCCTGTTAGGAACTGAGCCACACAGCAGAAGGTGAACGGCACGTCGGCGAGCAAAACTTCATCTGTATTTGCAACTGCTCCCCAGCACTAGCATCACCACCTCAGCTCTACCTCAGATCATCAGGCATTAGATTCTCATAGCACTGGTCTGCGGTGCCAAAAAGATTGGGGACCACTGAGCTAAAGGACACACATGTATAATAAAATACTTCCCAAGGTCTTGAGGTTCCCATGACAACCATATCAGAGAGGAGTCAAACCTACCTAAAAGGTGCCTGCGATACAGAGACGTCCCAAGGCAGGTGGTAGAGACTCTAGCTCTTGGGGTGCCTTTCTGAGGGAGCACCACTCTCTTCTCCGGCTGGTCCTGCGGTCGATGCTAGGCCTTTCTCCAGCCAAGTTCAGGCAATCAGAATCCCAAGGATTCTGAGGCTTGGGAGGGAGATGGAAGTGGGATAGTGTTTGCTCCAGGCAGCCCCTTGATGGAACTGATTGATGTCTGCCCCCAAGACCTTGGGCTGCTTAGCTTTACCTTCCATTCCTGGAATGTTTCAACCTCTCCTCACTCGGCCTCTAAATCCATTTTTAATGTAAGCTCCAGATTCCTATTTCTTACAAAGTCCCCGACACACCTCTTGGCCCAACAGTCTCTTGGCTCATGCTCTCTTAAGCCACCAAGGACAGTGGGTATGAGGATCAAAAGAAGTCTCAGCTGGCTGCTCCAGCCCTGGACTGCCCCTCCTGAGGCATGGATATTTTTTTCAAGCCCAAGCCAAGACAGAGACCCCCTTATTCACTCATGGAGCTCATTTGACACAGCAGCATAGGCCACCCACAGTTCTGCTCAAGGTAACCTCAGAGGCTCAAGGGTGGGGACTGTAATCAGTGCATCTGGCCACCAGGCATCCCTGATCATTCCGCCTGGTGGGCACTGCGGTCTAAGTGGCACGATGGGGAAAAGCGCTGGGACCAGGATGCAACGAGTTTCGCCCCCATTCTAGGCAGAACTGTTGGTTCCCTGACTTTGAGAAACCAAAAACCACACTTGCTCTCTCCTAAGGGAGCCAGCCCCAATTCGTTCCTCATTCCAGGCACAGCTGCCAGTGGGGGAGCCCCAGCAGAAGAGTACACGAGACTACAGTGCCGGGCGACAATGTTGGTTTTAATGGCATTAACATCCAGGAGGTCACACATCAGTTCTAGTTGGCGACTTCTTCCAGGGGTGAGGGGCTGATGCCTTGCTGGGCTGGGCTGGGCTGGGCTGGGCTGGGCTGGGCCCCTCCAGTCTGTGCCACAGCCTGAAACTCACCCTGGTCCACCCGCCTCCCAACTCCCACACCACTGAAAGACAAAACAATTGCACTGATTGACATATAGAGAGCTAGAGGGTCCCGGCCTCCTCAACACACATCCCAGGGTCTGACACACAGTTGATAAGGGCTTTGGCGTCTGCTCGGTGGTGGTCCAGGGCTGGTCCCGGGGAGTAGTGTTTATCGAAATGTGACAGAGGTTCTTTTACAAACGGGGTGTCTGGAAGATTTGTGTGGTTCTAAGAGATTCTCGTCTCTAATGGCTTCTCTCAGAGCCACTGGAGTTGGGCCTGGATAACGAACGCTGTGTTGGTTTGTTTATTTATAAGGAATGTATAAGGCATTTTGGTAAATTGAATAGTAACTTCTTTTTCCAGAGGCGACTCAGACAGAGGTGCCCTCCTTTGCGCCGCTACCGTCCTCCTGTGAAGAGGGCAGAGAGAGGGAGAGGCTGGGGCCAAGGAACCAAAGAGAGCACTCACCCCAACCTCTAGGGATCACCAGTATCCCCTGGATTAACACTCCACACCACTCCAAGCCCTTCAGAGAACACCCAGCATGTCTGGAGAACCAGAGCTGACTCCTAGGGCTGGAGGAGACACCTGAGGGTTGGCAGGAGATGAGCCCCGAGTTTGAGTGAGGACCCTAGTCCCACAGGCTGCAGAGTGAGAACTTGGGCTGGTAGCGGGGGGGTCGGGGGGGGTGCTGGTCAGAGACATGTTTCTCACTAAGGGGAGCCATAGAAGGGTGAGTGCTACATGTCCTGATGCTGCCTTCAGAAGTCTGTCCCCAACACCTCCTGTCCCAAGTCTGTGTCTCCTATTTGTCCTGCTTCCCAGGAGTCCTGGGGTTCCCAGCACTATGCCCAGCCCTCCCCAGCAAACTCTGGAGTGAGCCAGTGGCCCTGTGGCCACGATACTCACTGTTTTGTGTAGCTGCTCTTGCAACTTCTTTACTGTGTCTTTCTCTTTTGCCAGCTGCTCCTGGGTCGTCTTCAAAAGCTCCTGTAATTTGGTGGCAGCACGTCCCAAGTCACTCGTTAACTTCTTTTCTTTTTCTAGTCTCTCCTGTGGGTCAGAGGGTTGAAGGGGGTCAGCTTTCATGTGTCACACATCAGAAAGGCTACCTGGCCATGCCCATGAGGCCCAATGCCCCAGGAACTGGGAGCCCTCTGAGGGCGGGAGAATGCTGTCTCCTGGTCACCCAGAGATAAGGAGTGATGGCTGGGAGCAAACAGCCCATGTTAGAGCCACTCAACACACATGGTGGCTGCTGAGCACTTGCAGTATGGCCACCATGATTGAGGAATTAAACTTCGTTTTATTCAATTTAAATTTAAATAGCCACATTGATTAGTGGCTGCCGTGTATGACACTAGAAGTTTAAGGACTGCCCTCACAACCCTTCACCAAGTAGTCTGGACCCTGCTCAAGGGGCTGCAAGATGGCTCCTTTCCCACTCCTGTCTCAGATGGTGACAACAGGAAGTGAGCGCCGAGAGCTGGCCCTGCTCAAGCTTTGGAGCAGAGCCCACCCTTCTACCTTCAGCTGCGTGGCCACCTCTGCTTCTGCAGACTCAAGGGGGCTGGTATGAAGCTTCTCCAGCTCTTCCTGTAGCCGACACGCTGTGTTCTGAGCCTTGGCAGAGAAGGGGCAGCAGGGTCAAGGCATGGGTTCTGACCCCACAAACCCAACTTGCCCGCTTGGGGATGGGAAAGCACCCAGCATGAAGGGACAACATTTCAACACTATAGACAGGAGGCAGGTGACCTACTGTACAACACCACTGCCTTGGGAGACACCCTCCAGACCCACACCCACCAGCCTGGGCCACATTCCCCACCATCCCTGACACAGCCAATGGTTCAGGGTCTCCTGGGTAGGGTCTGACCTCCTCAAACTCAGCCATGAGCTTTTGCCGCTGTGTTTGCTCATCCTCCAGGATGGCTTCTGTCCGCTCCAACTGTGTTTTCAGCTGCATGGGAATATCACAAACATACTTTGAGAACCTGGTGAAGGACCCTCTTAGGAGCCCAGGGCTCCTAAACAGGCTGGGACCAGCGGGGCTCCACCTTCTAGCTGCTTCTAGTGCTCCCGCCTTTCCCTGCCTCTGACCAGCTGGAGTGGCCTCTGCCTGCCAGCTAACATTTGCAAAGTTCCCCCTTTGGGGAGATGGTGCCTCAGCCTCTGGGCATAAAAGTTTGTGTGGCTGAAGGAGATGCTGCTGGGACTTCTGACCTCAGGCACCTTTAATGAGACCCACAAGACAAGGATGCCTCAGAGCCATCCCACAGTGGCATCCCCACCCAACAACAACCTCACTGCTGTCCTGGTGTCAGGCCTCTGCCTCCTAGTGATGACTCCCAGAGGCAGTTACTTGGGTCAAAAGTCTAGAGAGCAAGCACCCTGCTAGTGACACCCCAGCAAGGGCCACAGTGTAAGATCAGATCCCTAACTGCAGCCCTGGCTACCCCGCCTCCCTCTTCCAGTCTCTTCCCTACTTGTTAGGATGGAGCCTCTTAATAACTCCCCACCTGGCTACCTTCCATGCCCTTTCCTCTCCTCTGTGGCTTCCTCAGAACCTAGGTGACCCCCACCTGGGAATCTGGATAGAGTGGGGTGGAGAAAGAAGTAGATGCTGCAAGTAGCAGGTGTTTAGCCAGGACAGAGGCTTGCCATCTCTGTGCTCTGATTAGGGTGGAGGTGGGTGGAGAGGGTGGTTAGTGACAGACATCTGAGGACTGGCTCACCGCCCTAACCTCGACAGGGTCCTGCTCTGTTGGGGGGCCATCTGGGGGAGCAGCTGGAGACCCAGCTACATCACCATCCTCTACGTGGCTCTTCATCTCACTCAACTGTTGCCTGACCTGAAATAGGGAGGAGTGGGTTTGTGCAAACACTCAGCTGGAAGCATGCCCACCTTGCACACACCATACAGACCTCCTTGGGAGGACCCAGATGCTCTCAATAACCAAAGCCTTTACAGGGGACCTGGTTTGGTAACTGATCTGTATTGGAGTCCCCACACAGATTCACTGGGGCAGTAGGGCCAATGCCACGACCCCTAACCTAGGCCAACAAAGGGCCTGGGCTGGCCTGACCCATGTGCTCTGCCCTAAGCTCAGCTGGCATGCAGCTCTCCCCAGGAGCAAGGTGACCCCTGATGGACACAGCACATACAAAGCTAAGGAACCCAAAAGGGAATAAGAGGCAGCCAACAGGCTCAGCACAAACAACAATGACTATGTCCTGGATTCCTTCTTCTAGACACAGTCCACTGTTTAGAGCCCTTTATTGGGTACAGGAAGATTATGAGTGATACTGTTGCCTAATAAGGTCCTCCCACCCTGAACTCCATTGCTGGGAGCAGATGGCACATCCAGTGGTCCCCAAGCCTCCAGACTATTGAGCCTCAATCTGGTCACCCATTAAGCTCAGGTAAAGGTTCCAGTCAGGACCCGTGGCATGAGCTCCCCAGGGGATGTGGGTAATCTCAGGCCCTATCCAAAAGATGCTACTCCAAGGGGAACCCCGAGAGTGAGGGGCCCACTCTCTTGCTTCCTTCTCTCCTGACAACCGCTAAAGGCAAAAACCAAACTGTGCAGGCCAGTGATAAAGATACTCAGAGGAGTTTTCTTCACATGTGCCCCATGCCTGGGGCAGTGCCCCTGGGGCCTGTCACCCAGACCTGGCTTTGGTGGGTAGTAGCCCCCTGGCTCAGATGGTGACTCTGTCTGGACAGCATCTATCCTCTGGTGTCATGGTTCCAGGAGCGCATGGACCATGCAGGGGGCTGCTCGAGGCTCAGTGATGCTGCTGTCGGAATGGCAGCCCACGCACCAGACCTTCATTCAGTCTCCTCACAGAAAACCGGTCACATCCACTTTTACTGAAAATCTCCCAATTTCTAAATGTTAAGAACTGATTCAAGATTTTTAAAAAAAGACTGTGCAGATTAAACACAACACATCTGTGGCCTTACGGGCTGCTATTTGCATCCCCAGCCTGGAGGTGGTATAGGGACCAGTGGGTCCCCGCTTGTCAGCTAGGCTGACCCTGCCAAGGAGCGGAGACTGTAAGCAGACACCAAGGCTGAAAACCGGAAAGACCCAGAGGCCACCTGCACAGTAGGGAGCTTTGCAAGTCTACTACTGCTAGGCGTATAGCAGGTCTCCCTCCCCACCTGTGGTTGAACCAAACTAGTCTCAGCCACCAATACAGAGAGAAAAGGCCCAAGTCCCACACAGAGCAAGGCTCGTGCTAGCAGCCATGGGGTAGAGAGCAGTGAGGCCCAGAAAGGCCCCATGTGACACTGGGCTCACAGGGATCAGACCACCCTGAGCTCCCAGCACTGTGGCCAGGGACCAGTTTGTACTAGGGAAGATGGATGGTGGGGCCTGAGTGCATTGGTCCTGGCAGCCACGGGCCCAGCTTGGAGTTTTGAGCAAACGTGTAAGGAGCCCCTTCAGCACAGACTGATCAAAGCCTGGTCCAAATACCAAATCGGTGCACATGCCCTGTCACACTGCATTACTTTTGACAGGATATAAAAGAACATTGGAAATTTCTCTCTCTCTCTCTCTCTCTCTCTCTCTCTCTCTCTCTCACACAAACACACCCCCACACACCCACACCCATGTCACAAGCCACTGCCCCACCCCAGGTTCACTCACCAGGGCGAGCTCATTGCTCTGTTTTTGGGCTTCACTTTTGGCTGCATCCAGCTGAGATTGAGATTCTAATAAAAGTTGCTTCAACTTGGGGAGAAAACAGATCCAGGTGATAGGGGAAAAGGAGAGAAAAGAGAAAACCAGCTCCTGTGAGTTAGCACCTAAACACACAATCTAATACATCCGTGTAACCCTTGAGAAAACTGCAAGGCAGAGCAGGCGTGGACTCCCGGGCCTCTGGTAGCTCCTGTCTTTTTTGATGACTTAGGAAGGCTGACATTCACTGCACCTCATCTGGGTCCTTTACAAATGTTTCTAGATTATCTCGCAAAATAAGGCCAAAAGTTTGAGATCAAACCAGAATTGGCAGTGCCAGGTTTGTGCTTCCTGCTTCCGAAGTAAGAACACAGGATCAGATTCAAATTCATTCCCCACAGAAACGGTGTCACTAAGCCAGAGGGAGAATTCTCTTGCTGTGAGGGTGATGTGACTTCACCCCTGCCCTGTCAGCCAGGCTGCCTTTTTGAAATCTGCCCGTGACACCTCCTCAGGATGGCCGGCCTAAGACCCAGAGTAAAGCCTGAGAACTGGGACTTTGAGCTCAGGTTAACCAGAGCTGCTGAGGAACAATTCTGGGCAGGCTGAGACCCCATTGGGAGACTCACCCCTGCTACCTCCTTGGCGTAGCTCTGGCACTCAGCACTGGCGGCAGCCATGTGCTTCTCCAGCTCTGCTTCCAGATGTGAGGTGTATTCTTTCACCTGGACATGCACATGCACAAGCACATGTCAGAGGCCTCAAGTTGGCCAGCAGGGAACAGGGCGATGGGGCAACAAGTGTGGCCAACTTTGGGAGACCTCCACGGCCCTATCAGCTATGGTGCCAACAAAGGCCAGGCAGAAATGAGCCCATGGCAACAGAACCCCTCACTGAAAATGGTACCCAAGCTCCAGCACTCCTGGGTCCTGACGTGTTCTCAGACCTCAGGAGCCAGGGAAAGGAGAGCTTTTAGATTGACTTGCTAGGTGGATACCAGGGGCACTTTCTCTAAGGCCCAGGCTGACTGTGTGACTGCAGAGGGCAGCAAGGCCACCTCACACAGCTCCCATGATTCAAAAGGTCACTGCAGAAGCCACTGTTTAACAGGGCATTCTATACAGGACCCACACTGTCCCAGGCTACTCATGTTGCAAATGGTTCTCAAGGAAAAATAGGAATGACAAGGTCCTCCAGGTTCTCTTAAGACATGTGGTCCACAAGGGAAAATAACGAACACGGCTTCTGTAATAATGTCTCTCTGTAATAAGGAAAGTAGTTGTCTGAGCATAGCCCCCACACATACCTGATCTGAACTTTCAAGTTCTCCTTTTAGCTTCTCTATAATCTCTTCGAGATGTTTCACTGTGACCCGTGACTACAAAGTAAAGAGAAGGCCTCAAGTCAAATATGAGCCCCATCTCTCAGGAAGTTCCATGGTACCCACCCACTCCAGGCATGACACAATAGCCTCTTTCTGGAGATGAATGGGGCAGGGGGTCTCCTTGAGATTGAGGAGTCAGCTGTCATTCTGTAATCACCATATAAACATGACATCACCAAAACCCAGCAATGTGACTATCTCCCAAATGATCCCCCCTGGATTTCCCAGCTGTCTGTCTTAAGTTACGTTTGAATTCCGAGGGAAGGTGGACACCCTGGAGCGATGCTTGTATCGCTGGACCCTGGGGAAGGTCAGAGGGCCCAGGCTGTACCTTTTTGAGCTCCTCTTCCGTGGCGCTGACTTTGGCCTTCCACACCTGCTCCTCCTCCTCCACACTCTTCTGCAAGTCTCTGAGCATGCCCTCCTGGGGAATGGGCACTGAGGCAGGGCCCTCTCCGTGGAGGACCCACCCCACATAAACATACAATTGCGTCTTCTTGTCCCCTCGGCCCCCCTGTGATGACTGCCTGGCTGATTTTGTCAGTGTCACATGGGGAGCAAGGTGGACCACGGTCCTGGAGTGGGGCCCTCTGGCCAGTGTGTGAACGAAGGCTGCAGGCCACACAAGAGAATGAGGGCCGTGACCCAAATGAAGTCATAGGGACTCTCATCTCTGCTGAATTTTCCTCTAATGCCCACCTCACTGGCCCAGAACAAGGGGCACAGGATGGGGTCAGAGTGGGAAGGCTGGACCCAGCATTACTTTTGGAGTCACAGAGAGCACAGCTTCAAGCCTGCTGTCAGCCAAATGCTCATGCCTTTCTTTCCTTCCCCAGACTATTCCTTGTTATGACCAAGTCTCTCCATCTCCCTGAGAGTAGCCCCAAACTTTCAACTCAGCCCTCTCCTCAGCTTAGAAGCAACAAAGATCTGAGCCCCTTACTCTGCCCTTCTACCATTCAACCAACAAAATGAGGCCCAGAGAGGGACACAGATTTGCCCAGGGTACCAAAGAACCAGTGTTTGAACCCAGAGCTCCTTACATAGGGCACAGTGGGCTCTTCTACACCACTATCTGCCTCTTGCCCTGCAGGCCCTGAAAGCTCGTTTTCCCAACAGCGCCCTACAAGATGCCCAGCCAAAAGCCTAGCTGGAGACTGCGGTCCTCATGTCTTACTGTCTCTGCCAGGATGGTGCGGTACTGGTCACACTCTGCCTGCAGGGTGCCCTGGGTCTCCTCGGCTTCCCTCAGCTTGGAGGCCAGGTCCTGAGGGCACAGAGCAGAATAAAGGTCTGCTTAGCCAAGCACAGGGTTTCTCCGGCTGAAACAACTCTGGACACCTCTTCCTGGGGACCAGAGAGCAAGTGACAGCCCTGTGAGAGCGAGTGCATGCCATGCTTACCAAGGAGGGCTCCGTGTTTACTGGCAGCTGTTTTAGCAGTTCTGAGCCTTTCTCTTTGAGTTCCTGGAGCCACTCAGCATAATTCTGCAACAAAAATGTGTAAATGGGTCCAGTGACATTCTGGGTGAGCAGTGGGGTCCCAGAGAGCAACCTCCCCTACCTTGTGGGCAATGTCAGAGAGTGCAGGGAGCAGAGCCAGCAGGGCCTCCTTGGTCTGTGCCTCAGTCAGGCTGAGCTGCTTCTCTGATTCCTCCTATGGGGGTAAGACGGTATTCAGACGTGATGGTTTAAGGCACCCCCCAGGGAGTGTCCCTGGAAATGCTAGGGTATTCACCCCCAGGAAGGGAGAAGGACCCCTACCTTGTGGGCAATGTCAGAGAGTGCAGGGAGCAGAGCCAGCAGGGCCTCCTTGGTCTGTGCCTCAGTCAGGCTGAGCTGCTTCTCTGATTCCTCCTATGGGGGTAAGACGGTATTCAGACGTGATGGTTTAAGGCACCCCCCAGGGAGTGTCCCTGGAAATGCTAGGGTATTCACCCCCAGGAAGGGAGAAGGACAAGAATCAAAGAAGATAGGTTGGGGCTGAC